TATATATATATATAACTCTTTACATATAAAAAATAAATATTACATTTAATACAATTTATATCTTTAAAAATATATACATATTATACAATTCATTATTTTTTGATTTTCAGACCTTACCGGATCAGCAGCATTGCTACTTCATGACAGAGAACAAAAATATGGAAGGCGTGCTTGTGTGCAGCATTCCGTTCACGCATCCTGCGCACGTGCCGCAAATTCTGGTATATCTGCGACAGCAGGCGCTGTTCAATTGCCTGATCGCGAGCTGCGTACGACCTATGGCACGCCAGGATCCCGAACATACAACCATACTCGAAGTAAGCGCTCTTTCGTGGCAGCACATTAGCGTGAGCGTGGAGCACCCGTACGAGGAAACGATGGCTACCGCGGAGCTGGACTTGACAGATATATCGGCGCTCAAGTGTCGGCTATATGGTGTAAGCATGACAACGAACGCGGAACAAACGTCGGATCTCAGCGGCAGGGTGCTACAACGCTGTCTCAGCATACCGTTAACTATGCGAACGTTGCTGAAGATTTGGGAGGGTCGTTCCTTGCCCGTGGTAATGAACAATCTGACCGGTGGCAGCGGTAGCGGCAACGGAAGCTATAATCTCAATCTAGGATCCGGTGGTAAGGACCAAACCGGGCAAAATGGCACTGCATCCGGCATGCCGGATTTTACGAACGGCGAGACGAAGGTGAAGCAAGAGCCTGGCTTGAACAACGGTAGCAATGGGTGTATGGGTAGCAGACAAACTCAACAGCAACAGTTGTCGTCGCATCAATTACAGCAACAACAGCAACAGCCTTTTTTAGATGCCGGAACGGAAAATAGTATCGGTTTTCCGTCGTATTCCGGCCAATCCGATACGACGACGATGACGCTAGGCGCTGGAACGAACAATGCCACCGCTTCCATGTTAAACCCGTTGCAGTTAGGCGCGCTGCTAGGACAAGCGAAGAACTCCCTAACGGGTAATTCGAACTCGAACGAACGCGGTAAGAAGACGCGAAAAAGGAAGACCGGTACGGACGGTCTCTGGCGTAGTCCGAAGCGAAAGGGCGACGGAGGAAGCGGAGATAGTGGCGTCGGCGCAGAAATTTTACTGGAGAGCTCGAGTTCGGAGAACTCGACGCCGCTGGGAACTCCCACAGGCGGCAGGGAGAATCTCACGTCGGAAACCAGAACATCCACGCCGACTTCAGCTACTAGTTTGGCGAGCGGCATGGATTTCTCGAATCTGGATACTACCGATATAGTTGGTACCGATAAAAGCGCCTCAGATTATGATCTCGACAACTCGGAGAGAGACAGCGAGATTCTGGAGGTGCAGCACAGTAGCGCAGAACAACAGCAGCAAGAGATGGAAGAGTTAACAAAGACACGCGAGTCCTCGTCGACGCGCAAGTCGAAGAAGAGCCGAAGCAGTGGCGGTGGTGAGGAGAAGAAATCGAGTCCGACGAGCATATTCGTTGACGAGACATCAACGAATACAAATAATAGCAACAAAGGTCTCCCGGTGCCACCATCAGTAAGTATCACTCCTATCTCATGCGGTAACCTGGATCAAGCGAGCACTACCAACTATAACTCCGTATTGACGGGCATGGGTTTGGAAAGGAGGCCCGGCATTGAAATTATACCCATCACCTCTTCGCCATCGCAGACCAGTCTACCAAGTTCGATTACCATCACACCGATTGCCGGGCCGGCGCCCTCGCCGAAGAACGCGACGGAAGAACGTCAGCGAAGCGAACGGAAAAGCGGCGGGAAGAGCAGCGGTAGCGGTGGCAGCGGCAAGAGCAGCTCCGAAGATAATAACAAGAGCAGCGGAAACAAGTTGGAGAAGCGGCGGAAACGCAAACGGGAGGACAGCCCGATGGGTCCGCCGGACAAAGTGCCATCGGGTGGCAAGCAGCAGCAGGATCCGCTTTCGAAACCGGTATCAGTGACCATCAAACCGAGCACCGAGCAATCACCGCCTAGCAGTGGCGGTCTGAGCTGCCCATCATCGCGACCCACCTCACCCGCGGCGGTGAGAAAGTTCAGCCCGTCGCCGACGCATCCGAGCTCGCTAGCCACGCTCGTAGGTAAATCCAGTCCTACCTTGAAGGCAGGTCAATCGGCGGCAGGTGTGGCGGCCTGCGGCAAATCAGTGCAGAGCCCGAAACATTCGCCCATCTACAGCAGCAGTCCGAAGCACAATACATCGAACGTGGTACCGGTGGTACCTATGTCGGTTCCAATGTCGCTGTCCGTGTCCACGATACCCAACACAGTGCCATCCGTCGCGGTGTCTGTGCCGGTACCGGCAAATGCCAGCCCGAAACACGGCAGCATCTCGTCTCCGAAACATGGAAGTTCAGCCGCTAGCAGTGGCAAACCTAGTATGTCCGCCCTGAAGTCGGCGGCAAACTCGCCGTCCGGTAAAAGCGGCGGATCCTCCGACGCGACGACGACTCCGTCCAAGATCAAGTCCTCTTCCTCCTCCTCTTCGTCCTCCGGCAAGGATTCCTCTAGTCGCGGAGACAAGGAGAGACGAGCGTCGTCCGTCGGCTCGTCTAGTAGCTCGGCTAGTGGCCATCAGAGTCCCAAGACCAAATCGTCATCATCCAGCGCGAAGCTAAAGCAACTGGAGATGATTCCACCGAGTGAAGCCGCCCAGGTTTCTTCTCTGCCGTCCGCTGGCAATAGCGGTGGCAACACTCCGCCTTCCGGGCAGGCCGATGCGGCGAGTAAATCCGCGATCGCGGCCCAGCAGGCGCGGAATCGCAAAAGCTCCCTCAATGCCGTGATCGATAAATTGAAAAACGCGCAGCACTGCACCGAGCCCGACGGCTGTGGTAACGGTGGCAGTAACGCAAAGAGCAGCGCATCCACCAATCTTGGCGGTAGCGGTAGTGGGGGAATGAGCGGACAGAAGGAGAAGAATATCAGCGGCGGCTGTTCATCGAGCGGCAACAAGACTGTCATTGAGGGAGGAAAGTCTTCTTGCGTCGCCAAAAATTCGTCCGCGGATACGAAGAATCCCGCGTCCGAATATATGGTGAAACACAGCTCGGACGGCATCAAGATCACTATTAACAAAACCCGCACCAAAGACTCCAAGCAGTCGGCCGCTAATCAGAAGCTATCATCGTCATCATCATCATCCTCGTCGGGTACGATGACAGCTGCGACCTCATCTTCGGGCACTTCGTCGTCGTCGTCCATGTCTTCCTCGTCATCGCTGTCGTCGTCCGGTAATGTCGTCGGTGGCAGCAACGGTTCGCCGAAGACGCACACGGGTCTCAAGCCCGGCGTAAACTCTGGACCGGCATCGAAAAAGCCGCAAACATTGCAGACTCCGCAGAAGTTGCTGTCCACGAAGATGATGTTGGCTACCGGCAGTTTGAAATCGACCACTTCGAGCGTGATGAACGCCAGCGGTGGCGCGAGTATGGCGGGCGTAACCGCGTCCGGAGGAAACCCTCTGTCGAAAAGCAGTTTGTCCTCCAAGACTACCGGTTCGCCGAAGACGAGTAGCTCCGTGGCGACTGATCTGAGCCGCGGTCGCGACAAAGCCAGGATTCCTAAATCTGGCGATAAGGGAGTATTCACGTCGAAAAGCCTCGGCGACGCAAGGAAGTCGAGCCCGTCTGCTCTGCGCGAGGAGAGCGACAGCGAGCGCGCGTTTAAGTTGCTGGCCGCGCACGCGTCCAGCCTGCCGCCGAGTTTGCCGCCACAGTTAGTGATGGAGGGTCTGATGAAGCAGCTGGACACTAAGTTTCAGATACCGAAGCTGTCGGCTCGCGCAAACATCGCGGATGCCGCCGACAAGAGCAAGTCGTCGGATAAACTGCCGATGCTGCCCGATTCCGCCAAACAGACCCTCGACGGTCTGAAACAGGAATCGGGCAAGTTAACCGGTCTGTCCAACGTTCCCACGTCGAAATCGTCGTTACCGGACGACCAATCGAGACGGGACCATCCGCAGACAAAGCCGGACAATCTGTCGATCGGCACCACCGCCTCCGGCGCAATGTCCCTAAATCTTATCGGAGAAAACGCCGGCGGTCTCATGCTACCCCCGCAAACAACCGTCGATTCGGACATACCTACGAATCTGTGCATTCAACCAATGGTGGACAACGAGTCGTCCCGCAACGACTCCTGCAAGGAACTCGGAATGAGGCAGACGTCGACCGGCCAGCAGTACCATCTCGGCAAGATCGACGACACGAGCGGCAGCGGGGGTGGAATTCTATCCAAGAGTAACATCCCCGATCAATTGGCGTCGTCCACGAAGTCTTACACGCCGAGTTCCAGCGTCTCGACGGCCTCGTCGAGCGGCAGTTCCATCGTCGCCGAGAGTTTGAATCTGAGTACCAAGTCGTTCGAGCAGACGACTCTGCAAGTTAAATACAACAAGATTGCCGCCGAGGAAAAGAAACCGCAGCAGACGGTGTGCGGCGCGTCGTCCTCGTCCGTCTCGACATCGTCGATCTTTTCGTCGTTAAGCGGCGTCGCGACCACCTCCGACGATAATCCCAGCGTCGTCATGACGTCATCCGACGGCAACGGCGAACAAGAGGCGACGGCGGCAGCCGCAGAGATGCTGCTGGACTTTTCCGCGGCGAGCAAGGACCCGATGACCAAGGGTGGCCACGGCATCCCGTCGACCTTGGCTCATCTGACGACGATACCGGAGCGGGCGATGTCGCAGGCGACGCCGGTGGTGCGCCGTAACACGCCTCCACCCCCGCCGCCCCCACCCCCTACCAAGGGTGTCCCGTCGACCTTGGCTCATCTGACGACGATACCGGAGCGGGCGATGTCGCAGGCGACGCCGGTGGTGCGCCGTAACACGCGTAACACGCC